TTTTGGTGGTGATAACAATAAAGATCTATCCTCTTGATTTTAGAGGATACTCAGCCAGAGGTGTACCTCAAAGATATTGCAGGTTCAGTTTCAGAACATTGTACAAAGTGAATACTGTAAAAAAGCAAGGCAAGTGAATTTTCTGGTTTCCCAGTGCATATAAAAGCTATGTTTGCACTATACTGTAGTCTATTAAATACACAGTGGCATTATGCCTAATATAACAACATGCATACCTTAATTAAAAATACTTTATTGTTAAAAAATGTTAACCATCATCTGAGCTTTCCGTGAGCTATAATCACTGATCAGAGTACCATAACAAATATAACAATTAAAAAGTTTAAAATATGAGAATTACCAAAGTATGATACAGAGATAAAGTGAGCAAATGCTGTTAGAAAAAAAGCATGGATAGATTGGCTCAATGGAAGGTTGCCTCAAACCCTACATTTGTAAAAAGCAGTATCTGTGAAGCAATAAAGCAAAGGATAATAAAAGGAGGTATGCCTATACTAGTTGTGTGATTTGAGATTATTTAACCTCTCATCTCTTACCTGTAAAATGAGGATAATGTCACTATTTTTGGAAATTAAGTAATATGTAAATGCCAAGTACCTAGCACATAGAGTACCATACTGACTACACGTACTGACATGGACCAAACATTATTACTGGGGCTGCTTCGGAAGGCCAAAAATAATGGCCTGGACTGTGGTTTCCAATTTGAAATTCCTAAATCCCTAGGGCATATGAGAGTATTAATGGGCAATCTTGCATTTGTAGCCTAATATTTCCAATGGGTTTCTAGTAAGTTCAGAGAACCTATGAATAGTTTAAAAAAATTTTTTTTTTAATGTTTATTTTTGACAGAGAGACAAACAGCATGCGCGGGGGAGGGGCAGAGAGAGAGCGAGACACAGAATCCAAAGCAGACTCCAGGCCCTGAGCTATCAGCACAGAGCCCGACGCGGGGCTCGAACTCACAAACTGTGAGATCATGACCTGAGCCGAAGTTGGACGCTCAACGGACTGAGCCACCCAGGCGCCCCTATGAATACTTTTTTTAAAAAAGAAGATATCCAATTAGATTTATATAAAAACAGCACTAGAAAATATAGTCAGAGTAAATTAAATTGTTAATGTATTCTAAATGAGCAGAGTAAAACTTAAGCACAAAATTAGTATTTGTAGTTAAAGATCAAAAGTCTCATTCTAATATCTCTTATGATACGTCTTAGTGACTTCTCTAGTTTCCTTAGAATGGTGATTAAATAAACACTGTTTGCAAGAAACTGCATAACAACGTCTTTAAAAATCAATGAGAGTCTTCATCTTCCTTCAGCTATCCTTTTTGTTAATACAATATTTACTTCCTGATAAATCCTGAAAAAATCCTAAAGTTGTACTTCACATTGTATACATCTATTCAAACATTATCATTAGTGTAGACAGCTGAAAAGCACTTTTGTTTTTCTTTTGGGTGCATGGTTCTGTGATAGAAAACAAACCTCTCTCTCTCTTCATCACTAAGACCGATGCAGAGAAGTTTGACTTTGGTCTTGGTATTTGGCAAAACATTTAGTCAGTCTTCCAAAGGCTGAGGCCAATCTGATCACCACTTCTGGCATTCTTACATTTGTGTGTGATCAATGATCTTGTGATTGCATAGTTTCCATGATATCTAATAAGTGTTAACAATCTCAATAATAAGAACAATCATGTCATTCACATTTACTGTTATTAACTGAACATTCACTTTCAAATCTAAACATTCTAGATGAAGTAAAAAAGTCCTTATGTGTTTTTGTCAGTCAGAAAAATAAAATGTCACAGTAATTAATGATGCCTGTGAAAACCATTAGGTTTATGTATAAAACAATTAGTAAAAATTTTTAATTATTTAGCTAAATAGATTAACAGTTAATTCAAAGAGTAAATACATTAAATAGATTACTTTCTGGAGAATGCTGTTATCTTGGAAAAAAAATTAAAAAAAATTTTTTTTAATGTTTATTTTTGAGAGAGAGAGAGACTGAGCTAGCAGGGAAGGGGCACAGAGAGAGGGAGACAGAGAATTCCAAGCAGACTCCTCATTGTCAGTGCAGAGCCTGACATGGGGCTTGAACCCATGAACTGTGAGATCATGACCTAAACTGAAATCAAGAGTTGAACGCTCAACTAAGCTACCCAGGTGCCCTGGAAAAAATGTTTATATAAATTCAAATAAGGTTAAGACAGAATAATAGAGATTACCTGTCATCATAATTCAATCTTTGCAGAACTGTATTATGTATATATAAAGGAAAAGAACCATTGTTAAAAAGGAACAAAAGGTCCCAAATGGAGTTCCTTATGCTCAGCCCCACCAAGACTTAACACCAATTGTAGTTTCAGACTCTCCCAGGAATAGAGTTTTAAACCAATCAGTCTAGAATTTTCTGATCAACACTAATGAGGTAACATGCATGGTAAGACCCCTTGCCTTTCCCTCTAAGGGAAGGTGACCTTGCCTGAAACAATCCTTTCTTTTCTAATAACTTCCTTATCCTGCCCCATTTCTGCCTATAAAAGCCTTCTAATTGTACACTCCCTTGGATCATCTTTCTCTTTGTTAGATGGAATGCTACCTAATTCATTAATCACTGTTTAATGCCAATTAGATCTTTAAAAACTGACTTGGTTGTCTTTAATAGCTTTAAGAGCTACATTTAAATTTTATTTCCACTTAAGTTACAAATCTTTCAAGAAGATTTCCTATTGGGCAATTCTTGGCATCTTGAGATGATGAATTTAAAAAATGTCACTTTAAAATATCTGGAGTTGAAAAATACCTAAAATTATGTAAACAGATATGAAATAATCTCATTGTAATCTCTAATTAAGATAATTAAAAATGTTAAGACAGAAATGTTGAATAAATTGAGGCACCCCAAACACATTCTGTTTAGTCAGGCTTCACAGGAAAAGACTCCACAAGAATGTTTTAAAACAACTCTTCAGGCACCTAGGTAGCTCAGTCAGTTGAGTGTCCACCTCTTGAGTTCGGCTCAGGTCATGATCTCATGGTTTGTGAGATCTAGCCTTACATCAGGCTCTGTGCTGACAGTGAGGAGTTAACTTGGGATTCTCTCTCTCCCTCTTTCTCTCTGTCCCTACCCTGCTCGTGCTCTCCCTCTCTCAAAATAGATAAATATTAAAAAAGAAAAAAAAAAAAAGAAAGAAAAAAACCCTCCTGTAGTCTTGAGTCTACAAAGCTAAGTATTTAAACATGAAGTGGTACAAATGATCCTTTTTAGTGGTGGAAGATAAAGTTTTTTGAGATTTGTCTAAACTATGAATCTTAGATCCTTCTAGTACACACCTTACTGAAAAACAGTTTTCTGAATCCCTTTCTGGTACACAAAAAGGTCAGTGTTGTTTTTAAATGCATTAGTTGAAAGTAAATGGATATTTGGTATTACTGGTATAGGGTACAGTGACTACAAGAGAAATCTAATAGCTAACAATGCCAAGAAATTATTTCTGTACCTTAATTTTAAACTTCTAAAATATTGCTACTTCTGATAACAATAAACCATAGTGATAATTTATTTATTGGATGAAATGATTCTTCTACTCTAGAAGTTTGGTCTATATTGGTGCTATCTGGTTTTAGCTACCGGCAAATACTACTTTTCAGATTTGGTCACTGGCATTTGGCTGAAATGTGTATTTGGTGCACCTCTACCAATAGCATATTTAGAGGTTTATCCTTATGCTTCTTGGTAGAGAATACAGGTATAGCCTGGGAATGTTTTTACCTTGATAGTTTTAGAAAAATCCCAACTCTACTTCACAATGGATATTCCCTATTCTTTCTTTCTTAATACTTCTTATCACTTCAAATCTGTTCCATATTAAATTACCCATGGTTTTGTACTGTTCACAGTGCTCAAGTTATCCTCTAACAGGGGAGTTCTTCCTTGAGGTGGGCATAATGTTTCTTTTGTATTGCCCATAGTGCCTACCACAGTGCTGGTCATCAGATATATATTTACTGAATAAGATCCAGTATATTCCTGGCTAACCACCTTTGTGTGAGACCTTATTTTCCTTCTTAATTTTAGTCTATTCTATAAATAAACTATCCAAAACTAACTATATTCAAAGTCTGAACAAATAAGGTATTGAATTTAATAAAAGATAAAAGTAATGTTTAGTGGAGAAGAAAACAGAGCACTATTCTTAGATCTAAGACACTGAAGGTAAGTCATTTACTTTATTCATGCCTTTGTTAGAAAGCCCTCTTGCTCATCTACAGACCCCAACAGTTAAAACCAGAACTAGACAAGACCGCTTAACATAAATCATGCTTTAATTAAAATTTACTGTATTTTTTTCATATTGCACTTTCTTGAGACATTGATGAAGGTGTTTTGCAAAGTCCCAGAGCATACAAACTGCCCCAGAAAAGCCTGATAGCAGAGGAATGCTAGAAGACCACACCCCACATGACCCCTTCCTTCCCTGCCCATGATCATGGGCTGAACACATACCAACCCTGACCCATGATTATATGCTCCTTGCCTGCTTTCTTGCATGTATCCCTCTAAACCTCTCCTTATAAATTTCTAGGTGTCCTTGTTGTTGGAGAGGCTGGTTGTTAAGGCTTAAGTCTGCCACCTCCCCTGGCTGCTGGCACCCAAAATAAATCTCTTCCTTTCTCTTTTCCAAACCCTTTTCGGTTATTGGCTCCTTTTAGGATGAGTTTATCCAAGTTTGTTCAATAACACTGTGGGCAAACCCAGCCAGGAGCTATGCTTTTTATTAGTCTAGCCCCCACAGGATTTCCTAGGATGGAGCAGTTGGCCATGGCAGCATGCCAGGGCTTACCCATTTATTTCCTGAGTTAGCGGCTGTGATATATCAGTGGGTAACACAGTCTACCTATGGATTCTGCAAGACAGCTGCATGAAGTCAAAATAACTGAGAAGGAAAACTGTAATATTAACACCAACCTGAAAGTTCGAACGAGATTTTTAAGCTGTGCATAAATATCTCCTAATGTGATCTGAAGAGGCCCCAAAAGTCCAGGCACTCTGAAAATAAAAAAAAATACATTTATTTTAAAATATAATTTAATTATACACACATACTCTTTGAGGTTTGCCTAAGTCTGGATTTTCCATACGTAAGAATGGCACTTAGGTAGAGGCAGTTAAGCTAGGATGTGACTGGTGAGAAGTCATAAGGATATAATTCATAATAACCCCACACTCCAAGTCACAGGCTATGCTACAGTATGAGACACTGAGAAACATTGTTTTGGCTACTATCTGTATTCTGGTCTCGGGTTTTTCTTACCTTTACTTTTGAATATTAGACTAAGTTAGGAGTGTGGCCTATTTCTCCTTATTAAATTCTTATGGTGGGAGTAAAAATTAGTACTTTTTTAGTGAGCAACTGACAATATATGTTAACGTTTTAAATGCGGCTAGTCTTTGACCCAAGAGTTTTACTAGGAAAAAATTTATCCTAAAGAAATAATCAGATAACATAAAAAAGTTGCTTACGCAGAAATATTTTTAGTAGTGAAAAATGGAAACAAATGTCCATCAACAGATGATCATAAATTATGATATACACATATAATTATGATATACAAATATTCCATATAATGGAATATAATAAAACCTTTAAAATAATATAAATCTACATATTTATAATGTGGAAAAATATGGTATATTAAGTGAAAAATGCCTATGGAGTATTACCCCATTTTTATAAAAACTTATATATAATGATACTGTATCTGATATACTGTGTATTTCAAACACGTTTCATTCCTTCCAGGTTTATACTATAACAGAGAGAACCAAAGGGAATGAATATACACACACCAGACATCATGTATACATCAAAGATAAACATCAAAACATTACTAGGGATTATAGGTTATCTTCCTTCTTATACAATTTTGCACTGCCTCAATCTGCTGCAATAAGTATGTACGACTTTTTTAATTATGCAAGTTTCAGATATATTTCAAAACAGAGGAAACAGCAATAGCAACTCTATTATCTATTTCCAAATTCAACCTCCCAATATTTTGTTATATTTACTGCATTTTTTCTTCCTTCTTTCCTCTCCTTGCCAGTACCATTTTAAAGTGAATTCCTAAGCACCTGGGTGGCTCAGTCAGTTGAGGTACCAATTTTGGCTCATGTCATAATCTTGCAGTCTGTGAGTTCCAGCCCCACATTGGTCTCTGTGCTGACCCCTGGAGCCTGAGCCTGCTTTGGATTCTGTATCTCCCTCTCTCTCTGTACCTTCCTCCCTCCCTCCCTCCCTCCCTCTCTCTATCAAAAATAAATAAACATTAAAAAAAAAATTAAAAAAAAAAGTAAATCCCTGACATGTAATTTGATCCCTAAATATTTCCTTATTTATCTCTAAATACAACAGCATTTTCTTTCTTTTTTAAAAAATACAGCAGCATTTTCTTACAAAATCATAATAAAATGATCATACCTAACCAAATTAACACTTCCTTAATATCACCTAATACCCAGTACATATTTCATTTTCTCCAGTTATCCAAAAAACAAAAAAAAAGCCTGTTTACAATTGGTTTGTTCTAATCAAAAACCAAAAGGTCTTATTTTGATTTTTTTATTATTTTTAAAAATATCTTCATTTTATAACAAAGAAAACCTCAACTACTTGCATAAACAACCAAAAAAACCTCTGTGTCAATAATTATTTTGTTTTTAGTGTTCTTTGTGTTTCTTTCTCTTTAAAGTTATTCCACCTCTTCTCACATTTAGTTCTTGAGCTGTTATCAATAATTTGGTCTTCTGGCAGGGCTCCTTTTGTCATCTATTGCAGCCAAAACCCAGGAGGAATAGAATTCCTTCAATGGCATAGCTATGTGGTCTTAAATTTAAAACTGGGTCCTTTCATTAGCTGTTTTGAAATGTCTAGAAAATTATTTTCCGATAAATCCTTATCTACTGATTACATACCAGTATCAATAATCCATACTAACGTTTCAAATCTATATAACTACAGTCAAGGATTGATATCTTCTTGTTCTATGAATCAGACAGATGGTGACTTTTACTGTTTTCTAACCTATTTCTATTTCTAACCTGTTTCTATTACACAGAAACAATGTCTAAGTATAGGACCATATAAAAGGCAAAACTAAAAACAGCTTTACTGTCTATGAGAAGCTTAACATAATAGGCACTCAACAAATATTAATTTAAATAATTATTTAAAATGTAAAACTTACAGAAGCAAGCTGCTCAAAATACCAAGGCTTCCAGAAGATTATGTTTTTCTTAGTTTTGAACTACTACAAAATTAAGACTAATCTATATGCACACTTTTTAGATTTTATTTTTAAGTAATCTCTACACCCAAATGGGGCTCGAATTCATAACCCTGAGATCAAGAGTCACATGCTGTACCGACTGAGTCAGCCAGGTGCCCCTAATCCATATGCACACCTTAAACAATGACTGAAAACACCCTTACATTTTTCTCCTCAAGAAAGAAAGTGGAGATTTAAAAGTTCAAGACAGCCCTTACACCTCTGGAAAAAAGATTTTTCAAACTTCCTTTGAAAGACAAATCAAGATTACAATTTTTTAAATCTCATTCATCACTGGGCAATTACAAGAAAAATAATTTCCACGACGGGAAGCTTAAAACTAAAGTGCAAAGTTGACTTGAACAAAAACTCTTAAGTTGCTGAGTGTGAAATGGTTCTATAAATAAATATGTATGCAGAGTGAGTTAACAGACCGTTAAAACTTCATAAAGTTTCATTCACATGTGAAACTGATATGACACATATACCACAAATCAGTATTTAAATGGTCTAGCTTTGGTATTTTTTCCCTGACTTCACTGGATTATTAAGTGGAGGTGACATAGTTTGGTTTTCTACTCCCATATTCTCAACTTTTATTATGTGCTTCTGTGTCTTCTGCACAAAACTTAATTTCAATATTTCCTTGGCAATATATCTTAAAAATTCCAATTTCTCAGGCAAAGACATCCATGTAAACTTTTCACATTTTTCAAACTGTTCAAAATTGAAGGATAAAAATTAGTCTAAATTATGAACCTACAAATACCAAATTAATTCAAAATATTGTAACAGTGGAATGACAATTACATACTTACATTTTACTCAACTTTTCAAGTACGATGCGTTTTCTAATCTGGTTCTGAGAACTTGAATCTATCAGCGGAAAGGTGGGATCTTGCTGAATCACATTTTTAAACAAAACAAAGCAAAATCATAAACGTACATTCTTTCTCTGGTAAGAACAATAAACATTAAAACAAAAGTTTATACCTAGGGAATGGCAGAATAAAAACTAGACTTGAGAATTAGAAGATTTAAATTTGAGTATTGGTTCAGTCATTAGGTTGATGTAAACTTAAGTCCTATGCCTACTTTTGAGAGTGTTTTCTCATCTGTATAAAGGGATGCTAATACCTTCTTTATTAAATGAGAAAATGTACATGAAAGAAATTTGTAAACTGATAAATGCTATACAAATGTTGGAGATTAAAGTTTTAAAATTAGCAAATACTATAAATATATTATGGGGAATTCCACTTCTAGAAATGGCAGACAAGGTAATTCAAACCATTCCTCCTGCTGAGAACTGAAAAAACACTGGGAAAATACCCATATTTGTTTGAAAACATCAGAGAACTAACAAGGCAGTAAATAATTATGGCCAGAGATTCTAGAGAAGGTAATTCCAGAGAGGCAGTGACTAATTCCAAAAGAAGCAATTCAGATACTGAGAACTTGAGCATCTTCTAATAAGCATTAGAGCTTGGGGAATGCCGAGACTGTACTGACAACTCTCTCCCCCAAAGCCTGACTTAGAAGGACTACTAAGACTAAGAATGAATAGGAAACAGACTGGCTCTTACAGAGACTGAAGCCCAGCTTTAAATCATTTTAATCCATGACTGGATTAAGCAAGATGTGGGACAACTACAAATCATCTGCTAGAAGCCAACATAAATCTGTTTTAACTTCAGTCTCAAATTATCTGTAATTTTTAATATACAATGTTTGCCATATAATAAAGCAGTAAGAAAACAAGACAACATGGTCAAAATCTGAAACTTTAGCCCATGGAAAACAACCCCCAGGGAATCCAGACGATGAAGTTATCAGCTTTATTCAAAATAACTGTTGATGTATTTAAAGAAAAATGACAAGACTGAAAATTTCTGTAGAGAACTGAAAACTATATAAAAGAACCAAAGGAAAATTCTCAAACTGAAAAATACAGTATTCTTTTTTTTTTTAATTTACTTATTTTGAGAGAGAGCATGCATGCACATGTGATCAGGGGAGGGGCAGAGAGAGGGAGAGAAAATCTCAAGCAGGCTCTGTGCTGTGCTGTCAGCACAGAGCCTGACGTGGGGTTTGAACTCACAAACCAAGATCATGACCTGAACCAAATGAAATCAATGTTTAACTGACTAAGCCACCTAGGCACCCTGAAAAATACAGTATTCTAAAGTGAGAACTTAATGAATATGTTTAATAATATAGTAAAAAAGACTGAAGAGAGAATAGTGATTTAGAAATTATTCAGAATAAAGCACAGTCACACCTAACACCCCCTCCCACATACATACATAATACAAAGCGCAAAAGAATATGAGACACAGAAGATACAGTGGAAAAGATTAACGTGTCTGTAACTGGAGTACCAGACAGAGAGGAAAGGAAGAATGAGACAGAAGAAGTATCTATAGAGATAATAATTGAGACTATTCCAAAACTGATAAAGAAACCAAATTAAGATTCAAGTATTACAAGTGCCAAAAGAATAAATACAATAATAATCACATGTAGGCCAAGCATTCTAAAATTGACAGTAACCAAAGACAAAAAAATTTTAAAAGTGGCTAACAGAAGAAAAACAGTATTTTCAAACAAGTAGCAATAAGAGAAATAAATGAAAGCCAAAGGACAAAGAAATATTTTCAATTGCCTGAAAAAAATGCTAATCTAGAATTCAATACCCAGAAAAATGTCCTTCAAAAATGAAAGTAAAATAAAGAATTTTCTGACAAAAACTGAGAAAATTTATCATTAGCAAACTGCACTAATCAAAATACAGGATATTCTTCAGGCCCAAGACAAATAATCTGTAATGGAAGAATAGAGATGCAGGAAGGAAAAACAATAGAAGAGTAATTAATTGGATAACTCCAACTGAATATTGACTATTAATAATCTTACACGATTTAAAATACTGAGACAAAGGGCGCCTGGGTGGCTCAGTTGGTTAAGTGTCCAACTTTGGCGCAGGTCATGATCTCATAGTTCATGGGTTCAAGCCCTGCATCGGGCTCTGTGCTGACAGCTCAGAGCCTGGAGCCTGCTATGGATTCTTTGTCTCCCTCTCTCTCTCCCCCTCCCCTACTTGTGCTCTCTCTCTCTCTCTCAAAGGTAAATAAACATTAAAAAAAATATATTAAAAAAAATACAGAGAGAATAAAAATAGACAACAAGAGCACATAAGCAAAGAGAGGGTAAATAGAATTGAAGTTTCTAAGGGACTGTTAAGGAAGCAAAAAAAATTAACTTATATTAGACTTTTATAATAATTCAGTTAATTCAAGTTTTACTCTTTACAGTAACCACTTAATGGTTAGTCAAATAACATTTAAAACAAGCTAACAGAGGGTAAACAATGAAATAATGATATTTAATTCAAAGAAAGAAAGGAGAGAAAGAACATAGAACAGGTGGGACAAGCAGAAAGCAATGAGTGGGATGAGATTTAAGCCCAAACATATCACTTAGGATACTGAATGTAAATAGGCTAAATTCTCTACATAATAAAGATTACCAGCCTAAGTAAAAGCGGATAGTCCTTGAAAATACTAATGAAGAATGCTAATGCCAGCAAAGTAGAGTAAAAGAGAAAAAAATCATCAATGTAGAGAAAAGTCACTCCATAATACTGAGGTTTGATTTACCAGGAAGACATAACAATCTTTTTTTTTAAACACCATATAACATGGTCTCAAAATACTAACAGTAAAATTCACTAAACTAAAAGGAGAAATAATCAAACCATAATTATGGTGACAGATTTTTGACCCATCTCTCCCATCTTTCTCAGTAACTAATGAACAACACCCCCACCCTGCAAAAATCAATAGTGCTTCTCAAACTTTAATGTAGACACATTTTCCCAAAGGAAAACAATGAAATCTGACCCATCATCCTCATCATAAACAAAAATCAATTCCAGGTGAATTGCAGATCTAAATATGAAAGGAAAAACAAAGCTTCTAGAAGATGAAATAACCCGGGATAAACAAAGATTATTTTCTTAGAGAAGTCATTAAAGGCTACAATTAATAAACTGAACTCAAGATATCATTAATGAGAGTGAAAAGGCAAGTCTCAGAGTAGAAGACAATATTTGTAATACACCCAATTAAAAATGGGTTTGAATCCTGAATAAAGAATTCCTACAAAATCAGTAAGAAAAAAATACCTGGATATTCCTACAGATAAATGGGAAAAACACTTGAAAAGATACTTAACAAAAGAGACACTCCAAAAGGTCAAAAAGCAAATGAAACAGTGCACAACTCATTAATCATCAGAGAAATGTGTTATAACCAAAAAGTAATACCACCAGAAATGTGAAAAGTAACAATATCAAGTACTGGTAAAGAATGTGGAGTCATGGAAACTCTCATATAGTGGCAGTGGAATATAAACCTGCAAAACCATTTTGGAAAACTGTTTGGCATTATCCAGTATAGTTGCATATACACATATATTATGACCCCAAAATGATATACATACCCAACATAAATACCTATACCTTAGAAGAGAGATATAAACAAGAAAGCTCAGACACCACAGCCCCACACTGGAAAAGCCTAAATGCCCATTAATATGAATAAATTGGGATATATTTCTCTAAGGGAATGCTATGCAGCAATGAAAGAATGAAGTACAGCCGCATGGAACAACATAAATAACTCACAAACATAATGTTGCATGAAATAAATTGAAAACCAAAGAATATATACTATGTGAATTCATTTAATACAGTTCAAAATTGGCAAAACTAATGTATGTTATTATAATAGTTATTCAATTTGGAAAGAGGATATAATCAGGAGAAGACATAGTTGGGCCTCTGTTTTACTCAAATTTCTTGGCCTGGGTAATGATTACAAGGCTGTGTTCTTTTGTGGTAATTCAACGAGTTGTACACTTACTATCTGTATTTTACATGAACGAAAAAGTTTTAATGTTATGCAACAAAGGAATAGTCAATTTTCATTTTCTTTCTTAGGTATTTTTCTTGTTTAAAGCTTATAAACACAAAAATGATAAAACGAATGTTATATTAAGGTAGTTTATGCAGCTGAGTGACAGAGATCAGGTTTCTTCAGGCTGATTATAAAAGTTATGAATACTGTCTAATAATACAGTTGAAGTGATTCAAAAATATAGTACTAGGCTAGGTAGCATTCTATATAAGAAATTTCTAAACTTTTACTCTATTTCCACTTTCATCCTCTTTCTAAATCTCCAAATGTGTTCTTAAATTTAGAGCCACATTTACTCACAAATCTTTAGTAACAAAGTTTTGTCATAAAAAGAAGGTTATCACGTACTCCTCTTCATGCCAAATAACTTCATTTCCCAAGCTACACATCAAACCAAAAACGGGTAAGAGAAATACCGAGAGAACCCCCCAAGAGACATTTAGTCTCTACAGAGAATTACTATTTACTGAGCATCAATTTTATCTAAGGCACTGTGATAAATGCTTTACATACATTATTTTTTAAATTCTTAACAAGTGAGCAAGGAAAGCTATCAGACTCAAGAGACCAACTTTTCATACAGTAATAAATGACATAGCTAATACTAAAACCTAGGTTTACCTGGTATGCTCTATTTTCTCTTATGTCCATTATTTCTCAATAAGTCTCCTTTACTATATTATTTTCATTAATATTATTTTAAATTGGCCTGCTTGCTAAATAATACCCAAATACTTTACCATTCAGCTAGTAAGTCTACTCCACTGTATACAGTTCTATTGGAAATAAAATACAAAGATATATACCCCATGCAGAAATTTGAAATACCAAAATACAAAGAATATTTGTTGGTACAAAAATAAATAAATAAACCTCTTCAGAGAGTCTACATGTTATATGAAGAACTAGGTTTTAAAGAAAACTGTCCCCAATTCTAGGCTATTTCTATACTGGAGAAAAATATTACACATTTGTGAAATTTTCTGGGGGCGAATTTCAACTTATTTGGAAAGCAATTATGCCACTACTGGAGATGGCATTTAAAAAAATTGTTTTTAATTAATTTATTTAGGGGCGCCTGGGTGGCTCAGCTGGTTGAGCCTCTGACTTCAGTTCGGGTCATGATCTCATGGTTCGTGGGTTCAAGCCCCACGTTGGGCTCTGTGCTGTCAGCTCAGAACCTGAATCCTGCTTCGGATTCTGTATCTCTCTCTCTCTGGCCTTCCCTTGCTCAGGCTTTGTCTCTCTCTGTTGCAAAAATAAACATTAAAATAAATAAATAAAATTAATTTATTTTGAGAGACAGAGAGATAGCACGAGCAGGGGAGGGGCAGAGACAGGGATAGACAGAGAGTCCCAAGCAGGATCTGCACTGGCAGATGCGGGGCTCAAACCTATCAAACTATGTAATCATTACCACAGCCAAAACCAAGAGTCAGACCCTCAACTGACTGAGCCACCAAGGAGTCCCTAGGGATGGCATTTGAAAACAAAAAACTGAACTAAACAAACTTGAAAATTTAACAATTATTTCTTCAGTATTACTCCTGTTCCAAGGTTTGCTATGGTGAGTGTTTCATATTCTAGCAGCATAGAAAACTCATTATCGTTTTTTTTTTTTAAGTCCATTTATCTTGAGAGAGAGAAAAAAAAGCATGAGTGGGGGGAGGGGCAGACAGAGAGAGAGGAGAGAGAGAATCCCATACAAGCTCCAGGCTGTTATCCCAGAGCCTGACGCTGGGCTTGATCTCACAAACTGTGAGATCATGACCTAAACTGAAATCAAGAGTCCAATGCTTAAGTGAATGAACCACCCAGGTGCCCCCAAAACCCATCATCATTAAGACATACCTCTTCTGAGTCTTGTGATTTGGTAGTTTCTTCATTCAAAACATATCGTCCTCTATAAAACTCCCTTATCCTTAGATTTAAGGTTTCAGTTTCTTTTTTCAAATTCTCATAACTTGGTAGTGGTTTACTGGCTGTATCTGAAGTCCTAAAAGGTAAAGACTCATCCAAGCTATTCTGAGATCCCTGCAGGGAAGGAGAATGTCTGTCTAGGTCACAATCTAGGTCATCTTCATCAAGTTCTTCTTCTTTAACCAGAGAGGCTGAAGAGAGTTTCAGACACAAAGAAGCATAATTCTGGCCATACAAAAACCTCAAAGTTTCTTCTGTCTTCCACTCAATCAAAGTCTCCTTCAGGACTTTAAGTAAGTTTGCCTTTGCAACTTCAGGGCACATCTGCACTGAATTAGAGGCTGATCTAGAAACCTGGTTTGATTTGGCAAACTTTCTCTTAAAATGCTCAGCACTTTTCTTACTTATGCCTACTAGAGTTACTTTTGAACTACTGTATTTATTTCCAGAATTTTCTGTAACTTCTACTTTTTCTTGCAAAGGACTATTTGGAGAAATCTGAGTACTTACTTTCTGTGAAGGAAGTTCACAAGCAGCAGCTTTCTCCTGACTATCTAATGTGCAATTGCCTAGCTGCTCAGAGACATCTATTACTGTCTGTTCTTTGTCTTCATGGTTGGAGTTAGCTTTATGGCCGGCTTTCTTTTTCATTATGCTTTTTTTGTGCAGCTTTGGACTTACACCCATTGCATCTACCAGTCTGTTTCCTGGTAGAATGGAGGAAACAAAGTCTTGCTCATTGTCACTGTTACTGTCACTATGAGTGCTAGAAGAACTAGATTCATAATGCTTCTCAAAATGGCCAGGATTGTCAATATCTGATGTTTTAATGGCCTTAGTGCATAGCTGTACTTCCTTTCCAGAATGGCCACTGTAGAAGGAAAGAAACAAAATAACTATAATGAAAAAGCAAAACGTCCCACAGTTATTTATATTTTGTAACTTTCAAGCATTGCCTATAGATTATATATACATCTATCTATATATCTATATGTATTTCCGTAGATACACACATATACACATATACGTGTTTTCGAAGAATGCTATATAATCTATGATTTCTCTGCATCTTATTTATTTGATATAATTCTACCATCTTCTTTCTTTTTTCCCGTTTTTTAAAGTGTTAAAGGAGTACAGCAAAAAGAAAAAAAAAAACCTTGATAATTTCATCCTACTGAATTATTTTGATTTTTGCTTGCTACATTTCTTTTTCTTTCTTTCTTTTTTTCTATTTTTAAACTCATGACCTGATGATCAAGACCTGAGCGGAGATCAAGAGTTGGACACTTAACCGAATGAACCACTCAGGTGCCTCTGCCTGTTACTGTTCTGTGACTATTTTATATATACTTTTTAAAAAAAGGTTTTCTTTTGAAAACTTCATTCCTGCTTTCTCAAAAAAATGTATTACAGAAACTCTGTTTAGGTTTTGAAAGATAACAAGGTAAAAAGACATGTTTAAACCTTTCCCAATTATGGTTGATAGTTATACAGGAAATTCCATAGATAAAAATCACAAGAAAGTCTTAGCAAAAAATAAAATAAAGAAAATTAATATTTGTCAATGAAAGATATTGTATTTGAAAACCGAGAGTTATTATAGAATGCTAAAAATAAAAGACAGTAGTTTTCCCTTTGACTATGTTCCTTCAATTTTCATTTTTTTTAATTAAAAAAAATTTTTAATGTTTACTTATTTTGAGAGAGACAGAGAGAGGGAGAGAGGGAGGAGGGACTAAGAACGAGGAGAGAGAGAATCCCAAGCAGGCTCCACACTGTCAGCACAAATGTGGGGCTCGATCCCACAAACCATGAGATCATTACCTGAGCTGAAACCAAGAATCGCACACTTAATCAACTGAGCAACCTAGGCTCCCTGCTTCAATTTTCAACTGGGTTTTAAAAAGATTAAGAATTATGAAAAGGTGAAGGAAAAGAGTAGCTTTGTCTATACAAACCTGAGATAGGAAATGTTAGGTGAGAAACTACTCTCCAGCAAATGCACATATCAGAACTTTAAAAGAACTCTTTGTAATTCTGTGTAAGTGGGGGCAGGGAATTGTGAGGGTATGTAGGAACTTTCTACTTTTCAAGCAATTTTTCTATACACTTAAAACTGCTCCCCCAAAAGGATATTCATTTTTTAAATGATTAAAAAAATAGACTAAAATAAAATAATGCAACATTAAAAAAAAAAAAAAAAGCATGCTTGGTGGAAGTATAAAGAAAGAAAAAGAAAAACAGAGTTGAAAGTAAGGTTGTGGGGGCTTAGTCAGTTAACTGTCCAACTTAGGCTCAGGTCATGATCTCATGGTTGGTGCATTCGAACCCTGTGTCAGGCTCTGTGCTGACAGCTAGCTCAGAGCCCAGAGCCTGTCTAAGGATTCTGTGTCTCCCTCTCTCTCTGACCTTCCCTTGCTTGCACTTTCCCCTCTCTCTTTCAAAAATAAATAAAACATAAAAAAACAAAACAAAACAAAACAGTAAGGTTGTGGATGGGAATAAAGAAAAGATAACAAGTTTATTCAGTATTAGATACCATTTTTTAGTTAGAATCTAACCTATATAGCCACGAGACTGTCTCTTGTACCTGAAGTAAGCATAATGTTAAAAAAAAATTAGAACAATTTGACTTTCATAGGTTTCATACTTTCTCTTGGAATTTTAAAGTAATTATATTTTTCTATATTACTTTGAAGCTATAAATTTAAAATATATATCAATAAATAAATATCTCTTACTTGTGCTCAATTCCATGTACTAAAATAGTGGCTAAAAACCAGGAAAATTTATGCTGATAAAAGATATAAGAATGTGTTTTGAGAAATAGTCACGATTGGGCAAGCAACACCACAAGAACAGTTAAGAAAAATATCACAACTTGGAATTTTTCTATTAATGCTTTAGACACTCTTCCAAATAATACATAATTGGCATATTAAGCTTTGAAATCCTATAAAATAAGACTAAAAAAACCTTTCAACAAATGTAATTGGCATAATCTAGTTGACAAAGAAGCACAGTATCTCAGATGGAAGCTATGTTTGTGTCGTATTTCAACAGGTTCAATTAGACTTCATTGTAGGAACAGCTGTACAATAAATCATACAGATCAAACACATCATCTTACTATCACAAAAGAAAAAGCTGTACAAGGCAAATATTTCTTTGTGTGGGCTAAAATGGGCACTTACCTCATGCATCAACACAGGAAGTCCAAAAGCTCGTATCACCTGGTTTACTCTTAATGTTTCTATTAACATAAATATATAGAAGGTAAGTAATACTGATTCAACCATACCTTTGTCCTTCCTGTAGCAGTTGAAAATCAGGATCCCTGTGACAAAACATAGGAATAAAAAATTGAAGGCAGCTGGTATGTCAAACATTTTCAAGTGTTTGTTATAACTATATTGGATAGAAAATATAATTAAAAGAAAACAGTTCATTTAAAGTTTTAAAGAAAAAATTGAAGAACAAAGTATTGTGAAACTCATCCATAAGAAATATGGATTAATCTGTTATCCAAAATTTGTTCATATTTTAGGACTAAGTTCAATTTCCATGAGTGTAATAAAGTTTTCCCTGACTAACCTGCCTAAAGTAAATCACTCTCTCCTATGAGTTCCAGAGTCAGTATTATGTATTCAATTAATATATGTTAATCAGGTACTCCTCTATGGAGTACTGAATACTAGAATTCAGTAGATACTAGAATTATTATCTAATACTAGAATACTAGTATATACTAGTAGAATTATTACCTAATACTAGAATTATTATCTAAAAGTCTTACTTTTCATATGTTTAAGTGTGGTTTCTTACCAAACTACAAGCTTCTTGAGGGCAGGAATTATGTACCACAATTCTCCTCTATTTCCTTTATGTAGTCAATAAGAATTTTTGCTCTAATTTCTGAGAAAGCATTATATCGTAGTATGGATATGAACTATGTAGATCAGGTGATTGAATTCAATTCTAGGAACAATTTTTCTATGCAATACCAGAAATTACATTTGGCTGGGCATCATGGATATTTAAAAGACAGAGAGAAAAGCTCTTAGAAAGCCAATACAAAAAGGAACAAATAGCAAGTGATTCCAAGAGAACAGGAAAACTCTATAAAATATTTCTGAAGTGACTCAGGAAAAGTGACTTCTAAAGATTACAAAAATGGATTAAATAAAAGTGAATATACAGGGACACCTGGGTGGCTCAGTTGGTTAAGCAACTTCAGCTCACGTCATGATCTCAAAGCTTGTGAGTTCAAGCCCCGCATTGGGCTCTCCACTCTCAGTGCAGAGCCCACTTTGGACCCTCTGCCTCCCTCTCTCTCTGCCCCCCCCACCCCGCCATTCTCTCTCTCTCTCTCTCTCAAAATAAACATTAAAAATTTAAAAAAGAAAAATATACAAAGAAGAATACACAAAAAATGGAGTGATAATCCATGTTTATCAATAGGGAGACTCAATACTGTCAAGATGTCATTCTCAACTTGATCTACAGATTCAATGTAATCCCAATCAAAATCCCAGCAAGTTATTTGTGGATATCACAAATTGAGTGTAAAGTTTGGGAGGAGGCAAAAAGACCAAGAATAGCTAACACAATAATGAAGAACAAAGTTGGAGAACTGACATTACCTGACTTCGAGACTATAACGCTACAGCAATGAAGACAGTGTGGTAGTGGTCAAAGAACAGATAAATAGATCACTGGAACAGAATAGAGAACCCAGAAATAGATGCACACAAATATATTCAACTGATCTTTGACAAAGCAGCAGAAGCAATATGAGGGAGAAAAGACCATTTTTTCAACAAATGGTACTGGAATACTGAGTATTCACATGTAAAGAAGTGAATCAAGGGGCACCTGGGTGGCTCAGTGTGTTGGGCCTCTCTGTTGATTTCAGCTCAGGTCACAATCCCAGGGTTGTGGGATTGAGCCCTGTGTTGGGCTCCGCACTGACTGCGGAGTCCACCTGAGATTCTCTTTCTCTCCCTCTGTCCCTCTCCACGGCTTGGACTTTGTCTCTGTCTCTCTCTCTCTCTAAAACAAACAAACAAACAAACAAACATACAAACAAACAAGTGAATCAAGACAAAGACTTATACCATTCACAAAAACTAACTCAAAATGGATCATAGAACTAAATATAAAACACAAACTATACAAAACTCCAACAAGATAATATAGGAGAAACTAGATGACTTTTTAGATAGGACACCAAACACACAATCTATGACTGAAAAAACTGGTAAGTCAGGCTTCATTAAATTAAAAAAATTCTGCTTTGTGAAAGATATTGTCAAGAGAATAAAAAGAAAAACCAGATTAGGAGAAAATATTTGCAAAAGACATACTTGATAAAAGACTATTATCCAAAATATCAAATAACTCTTAAGAGTCAGTAAGAAAACACCTCAATAAAAATGGGTCAGAGACATTAAAAGACACCTCACCAAAGAAGATATAAAGATGGCAAGTAAGCATATGAAAAGATGCTCTACATTATATGTCATCAGCAAACTGCAAATTAAAAGAACAGTAAGATACCACTACACTTGTTAGTATAGCTAAAATACAGAACACTGACAACATCACATGCTGGTGAATGTTTGGAGCAAGAGAACTCTCATTCATTCCTGGTGAAAATGCAAAATGGTACAGCCACTTTGAAATACAGTTTGGTGATTTCTTTTAAAACTAAACATACTCTTACCATACAATCCAGAACTCTTACTCCTCGGTATTCACCCAAAGGAGTTGAAAATTTACATCTACATACCATTTGCACCTTTGTGGATAGAACTAGAGGGTATTATGCTAAGTGAAATTAGTCAGAGAAAGACAAATATCACATGACTTCACTCATATGAAGAATTTAAGATACAAAACAGATGAACATAGGGAAGGAAAGCAAAAATAATATAACAACGGTGGGGGGGAGACAAAACAGAAAACACTCTTAAATATAGAGAACAAACAGAGGGTTGGTGGAGGGGCTGTGGGAGGGGGGATGGGCTAAATGGGTAAGGGGCATTAAGGAATCTACTCTTGAAATCATTGTTGCACTATATGCTAACTAACTTGGATGTAAATTAAAGATAAATAAATAAGAAAATTTACGTCTACACAAAAGCCTGCACACGGATGTTTACAGCAGCTCTATCCATTTTGCCAAAACTTAGAAGCAATTAAGATATCTTTCAGTTGGTGAACGGTTAAATAAACTGTAGTAAATTCAGACAACAGATTATTATTAAGCATTAAAAAGAAACTAGCCACCATCAACCTAGAAAAAGACAGGGAAGAAACTTAAATGCATATTATTAAGTGAAATAAGCCAGCCTGAAAAGAACATATTCTGTATAATTTTACTACCTAATATTCTGGGAAAGGTAAAACTATGGAGATAGTAAAAAGATCAGGGTTGGGGCGCCTGGGTGGCGCAGTCGGTTAAGCGTCCGACTTCAGCCAGGTCACGATCTCACGGTCCGTGAGTTCGAGCCCCGCGTCAGGCTCTGGGCTGATGGCTCAGAGCCTGGAGCCTGTTTCCGATTCTGTGTCTCCCTCTCTCTCTGCCCCTCCCCCGTTCATGCTCTGTCTCTCTCTGTCCCCCAAAAAATAAATAAACGTTGAAAAAAAAAAAAAAAAAAGATCAGGGTTTATGACAGGTGGGAGATGAATAAGTGGAGCACATAGGATTTTTATGACTATAAAATTACTCTGTATAATAATGTAATTAATGTTGGATTCAAGTCATTATATATTTGTCCAAGCCCATAGAATGTACAAAGCTAAGAGTGAACTCTAATGTAAACTATGGGCTTTGGGTGATAATGATATGTCAATACAGGCCCATCAATTGTAACAAATGAGCAATTTTGTTGGGGGATGCTGATAATGAGGGAGGCTATACAAGGGTAGGGATAAGGAGGGTATATGGGAAATCTCTGTACCTTCCTCTCCATTTTGCTATGAAGCTAATATTGCTCTAAGGAATAAAGTCTATTAATAGAAAAAAAAGTAAATATAAGAAACTAGACATACATGAAAGAGAAGCTAAGGCATTGAATATTAATCCCATTTAAAGGACAAAATAGGGTTCCAATGAAGGCCATGATATTGCAAAAAAGCATTTCAATTAAAAAAAGTTAAGCCAAATGGATAGATGGAACCACAGGTTATTCGAGTTATGACACTGAAAGGCTGCTAATCAAAAAATGTCAGTTAAAGATATTTTTCTATATAATTAAGCATCAGAGTTGACCACATAATACTGCCTAGATAATCCATTTATCTTGTGTTCAGTCTTAAGCAGAAGAGGCACTGCTATGAATGGACTCTCCTACCAATCCTCTCCTTAAGTTATGGAAGGCACCGCTAACTAATCAAGGCATTCTTTCCCATTATATTCCTTCTCAGAACCACACATCAGGAGACATATGGGATGAAACCAATATTTGCCATCCCTGCTTTAGAGATTCCACTGTAGTTCAGGAATTCTCCAAGACCAATAATAAAAAATTTAGAAGGAAAGGCAAAATAAGACAATGGGCAATGAGCTGACTGAGAGTAAAATTTTAATCTATTTTTGTTTTTTTCCTTAGTCCCTCAGCCAATTGAGGCATATCCTTTCCCAATCACCCAATATTACCCTATTTACACTACTTCTACTCACTAAAACTCTAGTTATAGAAGCTACCTTGGGTTGGTGTTCCTCAAAGCAAAGGACACTACTTGGATGGTGACTAGCCTTGATTGCCCCAGGGGATATTTATAACTCTCATTAAGAGCTTTTTAGGCCTAAATAATATGCTAACTTTTACAACAGAGGATTTTATTGCCTCTCACAGGTACCTGTAGTTCTTTCATTCTTCCTATCCCACATCCCCATCCAAGTCTTCCTGGCTAAAATTGTCAAGGTTCAGTGCCTTGCAGCTGCCTGGCATTTAGTCCTATAAGGTCTGAGTATCTCTATAGGTAAGAAAATATGTATAGACAGTGATTCTCAATTGGACTCTTACACTCAACAGCTAACCTACAAATGCAGGGTATATATTCCATTATTCCTTCAAAAATAAAATTCTGAACTATTATATGTATGAATTATGCTGTGTATATTAAGTAATATAAAGAACAGGTTCTTATTCTTAAGGACGTTATAATTTAGTAGGAGAAAAACGCCTGTTCTAAGAGCTTCACAAAGGTTAATCCTCACAAGAATGAGTAGCTACAACTATTATTCCCATGATACAGATAAAAAAATTTGAGTACTAAAAGAATAAGTAGTGGAAAGCCACACAACTGGTAAGTGGTAAAGCCAGAAAT